CTAAACCTACTACAAAGACAAAAGATTAATTTAAGTCACCAAGAAATGAATTTGCCAAGGTAAGCCAAGGTAACACATGATAATTGACAGGAATACTAAATATAATTCATAACACCTTTATCTTAATGCAGGTTACACTGACAATTGCAAAACTGGGGAACAAATGGAGAATAAACTTAATTTACCCACTGGTACCAGTATAGCTTTCCATCTTTTCCAGGACTGCTTTTCCCAACCTCTATTACCCAATGAGCTATCTACAATTTTTTATATGTTTGGTGGTACACCTGGATGGGCAGTCATCTCTACCACCACAGAATAAAACTGCCAAACTATGCATGTAAGACATGCTGCTGTTCAAGTCATAAACAAGGGACAGAAAGCAAGGGCCTACTTGAAATCAAGCTTCTACTTCCCTGGGAACCACATGGATCCTAGTAATACTGAACAAAGGGTTATAGATGTAATTCAGGATTCTGAACCTTATACCATTTTCCTATCTCTGGGCTATTCACTATAATATTCAGACACTTCCTTGACCTGAATTAGCATTGCTTGCCAGGTCGATACATTACACTCCTATCTGGGCACACTGCATACAGTTCTAGAGATTATATAATGTATTTGTTATCAGATCATCTGGTCTCTAGAAAAGGATGATCCAGAGACTTGGAATGCGGTCATCAACCAGAAGAGTTGGACCTTCAGGAAAGAGGCTGAGACAAAGCACAAGGTCAGGCAGTTAGAGTCCTGCAGGGAGACAAGAACTCAAATAGGATAACTACCTCAAATGATGTTTTGCTAACCCACTTAGGCTAAACCAACATCCTCGTGTATATTCAGGTAAACCCCACATGCAGAAGAGAATGATAGGGTGTTGGCACATTATTCAAAATCTCACCACCATATTTTAAACATCTTATACCTAATATAGGATTTCTAAGGGAAAATGCAAGCTGGGTGCAATGGCTCACACACCTGTAATCCTAGCACTCTGAGGGGCAAAAGGATCACTTGAGGTTCAGGAGTTACAGACCATCCTGAGCAAGAGGGAGACCATGACTCTACTAAAAATAGAAAAAATTAGCCAGGTATAGTGGCAAGCACCTGTAGTCCCAGCTACGTGGGAGGCTGAGGCAGGAGGACCGCTTGAGCCTAGGAGTTTGATATTTCTGTGAGCTATGACACCACTGCACTCCAGTCAGGGCAACAGAGTGAGACTATCTTTAAAAAAAAGCAGAGTGTGGGGATGGAAGGATGCAGAAGCTAGGAGATTGACTACCAAGATTTTATCTGCCTATGGTCATGAAGGAGAAAATGGAAAGAGAGAAACAAGTAGAAAGAGCATCACACTTCCAGAAACCACAAAAACTGTTAATGTTTTGGCTCAGCACCCTTAGCTCAGTTAGTAGGGCACGGGACACATACACCAAGGCTGGTGGGTTCGAGCCTGGCCTGAGTCTGCTAAACAGCAATGACAACTGCAACCAAAAAATGGCCAGGCGTTCTGGCGGGTGCCTGTCTGTAGTCCCAGCTACTCGGGAGCCTGAGGCAAAAGAACTGCTTAAGCCCAAGAGTTTGAGGTTGCTGTGAGCTGTGATGCATGGCACTACTGAGGGTGACATAGTGAAACTCTGTCCCCCCCCAAAATAAGTTAATGCCTTAACACATGAAAGTAGAGAGAAAAATATATATTGATACTTGGAGGACAGGGTACATAAAAAGGGGACTAGTAATTGGTGGGGGGCATTAATTGGAGGTGAAATTTCTTGTCTCAACACCACTCTGGTTTTCTTACTTGCTAGCATGACCCAACATGCTGGTTCAGAAACACTTTTCTAGTCTCTTCTGTACACTGCTAAGTGATGAACACAATGTTTTTTTAAGAGATCTGAAATACACCACCTTGGTACCAAAATTACATTCATCAAAAAGTGAGCAGTTTTGAATTCTCCTAAACTGTTGTAATCCAGAATCAACATATTACACCTAATATTTTGAAGATGCAATGCTTTTAAGTCAAGACATCCCGCTTAAGTAAGGAGATGCTTCATCACACAGAGGCTCATTCTCTCGTTTGCACCAAAAAGAGAGCAGAACCTTAACACTAAACGGAAATAGAGCACCTCCTGGCCTCTACTAGTAACCGAGTGGCACAGCCCAACATCTAGGAAGTTACCAAGATCTATAAAGGTTGAATGACAGACACACACAAGGCCAAGCAGGTACCTCCAAGAACAGCCATTTGAGATATATTCTGTGCCTCAATCCTGTCCTCACCCTTTATAGGGCTCTATGTCCCTGTTGAGAAAAAGAATCTGAGTTCTAAGGGGCAGAATGAAAAGACAACATTCTCTCCTCTTCATCAAGCCAATGAGATTCACTGAGCGATGAAGACATACTCCTTCTGTAGTTTCCTGTCAATTGTTGTAGTGTCAGCAGATTTTATGGGAGGAGGGATGAGGGAATGGACAGGCTCACTACTCAGAGCAATATTTGTATGCAATTATGAGACTCCACTGGCACTACTTTAAGATCTGCAAGTTGGAGCAAGCTTCCCAGCTCTTAGAGGAGGGATTAACTAAACCAATTGCATCTAAATCAATTTGTGCTGTTCAGGTGATATGTTCATAAAGGAACTGAGTCGCTCTGATTTGTGGCAGTACTTCCCAGAGGTGGCCCTGCACGGCACAACATGCTGGATGAGAATTCTGGTAGTCATGAAGGTAAATAGGAGGGACACAACCACTCCTGCATATCCCTGGCCTCTACCCCTGTCTGCACAGTCCTTCCCTGTCCTAATCCTGGAGCTGCAAGTATGGAGTTAGGTCTAGAACAAACAGGAGGCTGAAATACTAAGCCAAGTCTGGGGCTTCAGGCCAGTTAGCAGGACTCTGCATCTTACATACTGTAGGAGCTTAATAAATATTGTTGACTCTCTGCTGCTAGATGCTAATTATGCTTGTATAACCATACCTAAAATTATTTATGTCTCTTTTATTAGAAATTAACTAACTTCCCCCACACAAGCTAAAAATGGGTGAGGTTATGGTTTCAAATGAGACTGACTCAGATTGTTAGGTGAAATACATGTGCTATGATTCAAGCTTCAACTGAAAATTACCACCATAACTCTATATACCTACTGAATTGTATGTATGTTTTTATTCAGTTGAATATAAATTGAAGGAAAAAAAAATTTAGTACCTATGTATGATGATAGATTTGGCTCCCAGGAGGGCTAACAATGGCAGAGTAAGGTTCTCAGTAAGCTAGGGTTCCTACTTATACCCAGGCAATCCACTAACCCAATAAAAGGTAAATGAAGTGCTTTCTTTGTAAAGCATAATGCTGAGGATTTATAGAATGCTTTCATCTTCAAAGGACCAAGCCAAGACCCACAATACCCAGTACACAATATTATGCTTTCTACACAAGTGCACCAACTATGAAAGAAAGGTCATAGGAATGTCTTAAGGGTACAAGCCAATGCAACACCAGATTTGGGATGAACTCTGTTCTTCCTGGCTCTTAGACCTGTATTTCAACCACATAAATCAAATTGTGAGGAACAATCAGAAGAAATCTAATTCACATTATATATCCATACTAAGATAATTGATTGGGCAGGAATAAACCAAATAGTAAAAAGACTACTTCACCCTCATGCCTGTGAGGAGTGAAAAGGAGGTAGAAAGGGAGACTGGAGGGGATAACAACTGGGTGAAGGAAACAGTCCCAAAACAGAAGAGAAGTAGAGGAGGAAGCTCCCTATTCACCGACTCCCTTCTGTTGGAACACTGTCCGAGAACTGATCAGGGTACTGGGGAGAAAACAGAGGGGGGTTAAAGGCCCAACGTGATAATCAGAGGAATGAAACCCACACACAGTACTTTTCTATTGACATGGGTTCCAATGTATTCCTTTATAAGGGCTCCTCCTCAGAGACACACAGCCAGCACCACAGCCTCGCTTCACACTCAGAAATCCTCGAAAAGGGAAAGTGGTTGAGAGGCACCACGCTGCATGGCTGGGAGACTGAGGGTGCACAGGTTGATGTGGAAAAGCTGGAGCACAGGGGCTCTGGTGGGAGATCTGGGTGGGCAAGTAGGAAGAAGGTGAGTGATGATGAAGACGGGCAGGGGAGTGTGGCAGAGAGAAGTGAAGAGCCCAGTGACCGACCCCAGGCTTCCAATTTCCTGCTCTAAGAAGAAACGCCTCTGCAAACTGAAGTGCTGCACACCAAGTCCTAAGTAACCCAAACCTTCTCATCACCAGTAATGTTTCTGTCAATCTATTCCGCCGTTATTTACTTAGTTCTTACGAGCCAGGAATGGAAAAACCCCACCTACCCCGGCTCAGTGGCAGTCTGTCCGGGGGACACACGTTTAAGTTTTCCCTCACAACCACCGAGCTGGTTTCACAGCTAGGCCAGAAATAAGGAACCACCCAAACGGAGACTGGAGGATCGCTCCCCTGGCAGAAAAAGGGATTAAGTTTCGCCGGGCCTCCCCGCCGGCAGAGCGTCCGCAGCACGGCCGGCCGCTGCGCCAGCACCGCCCGGGAGCCAGCCGGCCGGGGGCGCCGCCCGGGCCGACGAGGCTGCCGGCCACGGGAGCGTGGGAAGGCGGCGGTGCCCTTTCCCAGACTCGCGCCCGGGCGCCAGGGGAGCCGCTCGACTGCCCGCGCCCGGCCCGGCCGCGCGGGAGGCCTCGGGCCGCCTCCGCCCCGCACGCGGGAGTGCAAACTCCGTCCCGGGAGGGCAGCGGCAGGAGCCCTGGCCCCACCAGCACGACGGGGAGCCGGAGCCAGAGTCGGGCCGGGGACCCCGCCGCCACCGCCGCTGCCTCGCGGGCCCGGTCACCCGCCCCACCGAGCCCCAGAGCCCTCGGTCAGCGTCCGGCCCCAGCGGCACCTGAAGAGCAGCCGGCGCCGGGGCCGAGCCCTGCGCGGGCGGCGACACTCGACCCCCAGGGCCCCGGCGACGGGGCGCGTTTTACCCATAGCGTTCCCAGGTGCCAGCCATCTCCTCCGCGCGCCCCGGGGCGCTGGGCGCTCGCCTGCCTCCGCGGCGAGCTGGCTGGAGCTCCGGCGCGAGCTCCTGGGCCGCGGTCGCTGCCGCCGCCGCCGCCGCCACCACTCTAGGCCGCCGCCCGCCTTCGCTGCCGCTCCCTCTGCCGCCGCCGCGCAGCAGCCGGGATCCGCCAGCCCGCGCGCCCCGCAGGGGACAGCACGGCGGCCGCGATGCTATCGCGGCTGTGTCTCCCGAGCTAAACTTAAGGAGTTTTCTCCCCTCAGTCCAGGGGCAGCACCATGACACCACGGCGGCACCACACTGTCATTTCCGCCGCCGCAGAGGAAAAAAAAAAGGCAATCCCTTCGAAAAGGGGGGTGGAGTGGGGAAAACAGGGCTGGGGCTGACACCCTAAGGGAGCACACGGAAGGGCTCCGGCAGAAGGGGCGCTCGGCCACCTTCCCAGGCTCACCTTCCGCCGCCCCCGCCACTCCCAGCTCCCCCAGCCCCTCCTCTGGAGGCGCGTTTACACGTCTTCTCCCCTGGCAGGAGTGACCGGAGAAACCTGAGCAAGCCAAGGCAGGGGGTGGGTGGGGTTCGGGTTACTACAGTACCTACCAGCTGATTCCAGCAACCTTTTCTCCAGCGCCCTGTCATCTTGAAGGAAGACATACCAAGAGGGACCCGAGCGGGCGTGTGTGTGTGTGAGTGAGTGTGTGTGTGTGTGAAAGAGAGAGAGAGAGCGCGCGCAGAATGTGTGTGAAATGCAGGAGGAAGACTAGAGCCAAACTCTTCCTCCCGCCACCCAGGCCGCACAAACCCGCAGGTTAGAACAAGGAAAAGGCCTTTGTGGTCCGCAATGAGAAGAGAGTGCCTGGGTCCACCGCACAAGTCCGGCCCGTAAAGCTCCTCTATGCAAAGTTAATTACAGAGTAAAACAAAAATAGTGGAGGAGACAGAAAAGGGCAGACAATTGAAGGAAACCCAACCCCTCTTTTTACAAAGGGAGAATGGCTGTGTTTTATTGGCCTTGGGCAGAAGTCGTGAGGATGGATTAAAGCCATCAAATGAAAAAAAAAAATTAGATTTTCTTTTGTGCCTTCAAATCCTTCACGGGCAAAACCAAAGGGTCTGTACTACGAAGACAATGAGGCAAATGCTACTTATCCAGTTATTTAATGTGCCTAAATATGCTAATTGGTCCATTTGGAACCCAGGAGCCTCCCATTGGTCTGGAGTCAGCCGGTTTGCTCACCTGTCAGTGGCTCAGAGACCATCGCTCCTCTCACAAGGTGCAAGACCCTGGGAAATGGGAGCAAGCCCCAGAGGAGACTCTGTTTCTAACATGGGGCAAAAGGAAAGGTGAAGAAAAAGAATCAAGAAAATGGGAGGAAACAACCCCCCTCCCACATACACACAGGCCTACCATTACTATGCATGGAAACAGAAAAATTAAGGTAGCTCTGGGTGTATCCCATCAGGTAACCAATAGTAATCAGCCAACACCCCTGTTAAACAATATGCTAGAGAGCACTGAGGTGGAAACTGAAGGCAAAAATTACAACCGGCTATCCCGATGAAAGTCCAGCCCCTATGAGAAATAAAAGGGAATGAGTCATACCCAAATTACAGACAACAAAAGCAAAAAATAGGTAAATGGGACGCCATAAAACGTTTTTAAAATCTGCACAGCAAAAGACACAATCAACAGAGTGAAAAGGCAATGGGAGAAAATATTTGCAACTCATATATCTGATAAAGGATTAATATCCAGAATATACAAAGAACTCCTACAACTCAGTAATAAAAAAGCTATTTAAAAATGGATGAAGGACTTGAATAGACATTTCTCCAAAGAAGATGTACAAGTGGCTAATAAGCATATGAAAAGATGCTCAGACCAGGGCATGGTGGCTCATGCCTGTGTAATCCCAACACTTTGGGAGGCCTAAGAGGGTGAATCACCTGAGCTCACGAGTTCAAGACCAGCCTGAGTAAGAGTGAGACCCCATCTCTCAAAATAGCTGGGTGTTGTGGCTGGCGCCTGTAATCCCAGTTACTTGGGAGGCTGAGGCAAGAGAATCACTGGAGCCCAAGAGTGAGAGGTTGCTGTGAGCTATTATGCCAGAGCACTCTACTGGGGGTGACAAAATGAAGCTCTGTCTCCAAAAAAAACCCATAGCACAGTGGTAACGGCGCCAGCCACATACACCAAGGGTGGTGAGTTCAAACCCTGCCAGGCCAACTAAACAACTGCAACAAAAAAATAGCCAGGTGTTGTGGTGGGCACCTGTAGTCCCAGCTGCTTGGGAGGCTGAGGAGAGAGAGTCTCTTAAGCCCAAGAGTTGGAGGTTGCTGTGAGCTGTGATGCCACGTACTCTACAGAGGGCTACGTAGTGAGATTCTGTCTCAAAAAAGAGGTCAGAAGCAGTGGCTCACGCCGTAATCCTGGCACTTGGGACACCGAGGCCAGTGGATTACCTGAGCTCAAGGGTGGGAGACCAGCCCAAGCCAGAGTGAGACCTCGCCTCTAAAAATAGCCTGGCATTGTGGTGGGCGCTACTTGGGAGGCTGAGGCAAAAGAGTCACTTGAGCCCAAGAGTTTGAGATTACTGTGTGCTATGATGCCACAGCACCCTACCAAGGGTGACAAAGTGAGAATCTGTCTCCAAAAAGAAAAAAAGAAAGAAAAGATCCTCAGCCATGGATGGTGGCTCATGCCGGTAATCCTAGTACTCTGGAAGGCAGAGACAGGCAGATACTTGAGTCAAGAGTTCAAGACCAGCCTGAGCAATAGTGAAACCTCATCTTAGAAAAACCGATGCAAGAGGATCACTTGAGCCCACGAGTTTGAGGTTGCCGTGAGCTATCATGATGCCACGGCACTCTAATCAGAGCTACAGAGTGAGATTCTGTTTCAAAAAAAAAAGAAAGAAAAGATGCTCAACATCACTTATCATCAGAAAAATGCAAATCTGGCTTGGTGCCCGTAGCGCAGTGGTTATGGAGCCGGCCACATACACCGAGGCTGGCCAGTTCAAACCCAGCCCAGGTCTGCTAAGCAACAATGACAACTGCAACAAAAAATATAGCCAGGTGTTGTGGCAGGTGCCTGTAGTCCCAGCTACTTGGGAGACTGAGGCAAGAGAATCGCTTGAGCCCAAGAGTTTGAGGTTGCTGTGAGCTGCAACGCCACAGCACTCTACCAAGGGCGACATAATGCAACTTTGTCTTCAAAAAAAAAGAATCAAGAAGAATGAACGAAGCCTATAAGAAATATGAGATTATGTAAAATGGCCTACTGAACAACAACAACAAAAATAACTAAGTGTTGTGGCAGGCACCTGTAGTCCCAGCTACTTGGGAGGATGAGGCAAGAAAATCGCTTAAGCCTAAGAGTCTGAGGTTGCTGTGAACTGTGATGCCATAGAACTCTATTGTGGGCAATATACTGAGACTCTGTCTCAAAAATAAAAAAAAGAAGAAGAAGAAAAGAAAAGAAAAATGCAAATCAAAAAAACACAAAGAGATGTCACTTCATATCTGTTAGGATGGCCACTATTGAAAAAAACCAGAAAAATAATGTGTTAGCAAAGTAATTGAAACCCTCGCACACTGTTGTAGAAGGGCATAGCCACTATGTAAGAGAATGTAAAATGGTTTAGTCACTGAGAGGTTAAGGACTGAAAATGAGAAGTTATTCCAAGACAGGAACAAAAGGAAGCGGAGTCCAGGTTCTGTGTGGGCAATGTAGCCTTTATTCACTCAGGTGCAAGTGGGCTGAGTTCGGAAAAGAAGTCAGCCTGTGAGCTAAGGCGGAGTGGGAATATAAGAGTGGGGGGGTGGGGATTGGCGCACTTATAGCTTCCTGGGCAGTACATTCTTTTCTGGGCCGGATGGTTCTATTTGGGCAGGTCCCTACATTTGGCCCTATCATCCCAGTGTTTTTAGTCTATTATAAGGAGGCAGAGTGATGGAGGCGGTATACTGCTTCCTGTGGGTTGAGGGTCATCGTGGGCTGCCTATAAGGAAAAAGGGGAGGAGAAGGGAGTGGTGTTTACAGGAACACTCTTGGGTCTTCAGTCAGAACTGGTTGATATCCACATAAGGCGAGGATGTGAGCGGTTGTTTTTTGGGTGACTGCCTGGTCAATAAATCAAGAGATGAGACAGAGGATTACTGGTCTGAAACTGAGAATGAGAAAAATCATAATTAGTGGCCCTAAAATAGGAAACAACCAAGTTGGCCAGGAATTAAATAAGGACCGGGACTTCAGGAGTCCTCAAACTATGGCCCGCGGGTCACATGCGGCCTGATGAGGACATTTATCCGGCCCCCTGGGTGTTTTTGCGGCAGCTGCCTGTCCTGCTTAGCAGCAGACTCACCCCAGGGCCCGCAGTCCAGCCCTCCAGTGGTCTGAGGGACAGTGAACTGGCCCCCTGTTTAAAAAGTTTGAGGACACCTGGATTAGGTGATTCAAGATCTGTTTGATTCGTTCTTGGAGTTCTTTTACTTTGCCTGTGATTATTCCTGACTGGTTTATAAAAAGACAACATTCTTCTCCCCCCAAAATGCATGTGCTTCCTTTTTCTGCTGTAAGTAAATCCAAGGCTCAGCAATTTTGGAAGACTACTGCAGCTAAAGAATTAATTTGGGATTGTAGGGTGACTGAAGAGTCTGCTACTCTTTTCATGTCCTCATTAAGTTCTAGGGACAGTTGGTGGTAAAAGTGGGTTGATGATGTACTAATGCCTGCAATGCCTGTGCCAAGTCCAGCCACTATGTCTGTTCCAAGGAGTACAGGGAGGAAGACGCCTCTTTTTTGTCTCAAAGTAGGGGGATGTATCAGGGCCTGAAAGAAGTCATTCACAAAAGAGACTTGGGAGCGAGGGGGGAGGATGGGTGGAGAGAGGGAGATTGGTGGGACCACACCTATGGTTCACCTTACAAGGGTACATGTGAATCTTTCTAAATGTAGAATATAAATGTCTTAGCACAATAACTAAGAAAATGCCATGAAGGCTATGTTAACCAGTTTGATGAAAATATTTCAAATTGTATATAAAACCAACACACTATACCTATGACTGCATTAATGTACACAGCTATGATATAATAATAAAAAAAAAGCAGAGATTTGGGAGATGAGGAAAACTCAGGTGCAAATACCAGAGTGGTTAGCATGTAGGCACCTATAGATGGAGCAGCTGCAGAGGAAAAATTTTCCCAGGGGGCACAGGTGGAATCAGATAAGGAAAAAGTTGAGTTGAGAGAACAGAGTTCAGGCTTTATAAAGCCTACAGGGTCACCTGTACCAGTGAGATTG